AAGTAAGGTAAGAGAGGATATGAAAATTCACCCTTAACCCCCCCCCCACCATCTACCACCAAGTTTCTAAACGTAATTCAAGCATTTTAGTATGGTTTTAAAAATATTTATTAATATATAATTTATAATAATAATAATAATAATTTTGGTTTCAGTGTTCAGTCACTTGCTCCACACTCAGACAGCTGCATCCTCTTAGGTGGATTTCTGGCAAATTCAGTTATTATTTCACTTTCATTGAATTGCTCTTTTTTATTTATATTAGCCATAGCTAACCCATTCAATCTGTTTTCCGACATGGTGCTTCTTAAAAAATTTTTTAAGCGATTAAGTGTTGAAAACGTTCTTTCCGGAGTAAAAGAGGTAACTGGTAACGTGGCGAATAAGTATAAAAAGTATTTTAATGTTAGGTCAAAGATTGGTGCGATGAGAGAGTGAATCAAGAGCAGAATTCGGTTTTGGAATAGTATTTTGACTTCATTGATGCCTCCATATGAACAGGTCAGCTATGATTGTAGATGAGTTGTCATCATGGACAACTTGAGCTTTTATAATATTTTTATCGTCATACATATTTTAATTGGCCGGAATAAGGCCTTCAAGTGGCATAACATCAATAAGCCTTTGATTAAAACGAACATCCATTGATTCTATTAAATAGTCAAGATGCATTATACATATAAACACGGTCCATGGGGGGGGGCTATAGCCCCCTTAGTCCCCCCCCCCTTTGGCTACGCCACTGCGACCAAGTCACCTTTATCATCGATTCCGCGTCTGATAACGTACGTTCGAAGTAAAAATAAATATACGCTTTTAAGATTGAAAACGATATTTATCAGTACTGAGATACACGTACTGGTATCCCGACAAGTTAATGCGGTAAGATCAACAGTACCGGTCTACACGCAAGTATGGTTCCAATCATATCCCATGTACCGACGCTACGTAGTAGTGTTACGCGCGTGCGCCGACGCCTTTCGCCGCGACGGCGGTGACGTGCCCACGGGGTAGGCCCGTGTTTTCGAATGGTTATTGCTAGTATTTTTTTTTATTTTTTTTTTACACCGTTATTGTTTACTTTTTAATACGTTTAAATATGAAGCCGAACTGCGGGAATCGTGTTGCGTCGTGTTACACGATCGTTTTTCCAAATTAAATATAAAAATGGTACGAAAAGTTCGCGAGAATAATAAAACTACCTCTACCTATATAAATTAAAATAATTATAACCGGGTTTGTCGTACATTTTGATCCCGAGCACGCCTCTGGGCGCAACGTCACGGTTGATTTTGTTTTTCCGGATTCGCCGGCGTATCGTCGCGCTCGAGACATTTGTTTCGCTACGACACTGTAATAAACGATAAACTGTAGACTTATTGTAGTTCCTGTTTTTCGACACTTATTGTTGGTTTTTCCTTACGCGTTTATTGTAAATGGGTAAAATCAAAAGTTGACTCCTCTTTTAAGTTTCATCTGGGTTCAATTAGCTATCAGGAGAGGTTTTATTATTAAAAATTAGCCAATAACTTGCAGTTTAAAAATTGTCCACGAAAATAACACCATTGACAATCATTTGGATCGTAAAAAATTTCAAAGGAACGGAAACGCGTTCCTTTTTTGCACCAGGAACGAGTTTCTTTTTAAAAGGAACTTTTTAATCACTGGTTCATACTAAGTTAGGTACGTTAAACTCGATTGTAACTTGTCTACCACTTGATCTTAAGCGGAAATTACAATTTCGACGTAATTATATATCGTTAAGTTTTCTGACGAAACACGATTTCCGTATATTCATTTCGTTTAAGTTCTATTGTGAAATCCTGAAGAGAACCACGATGACGCCACCTTGACCGTGAAGGTTTTAAAATAATATTATTATTTTTTATGCACGTTTCAATTCCTCAAAACAACCATGGTTCCTTCGTTAGCCCTTACTGTTCCGTCAGTTCGTATACGTTATAACCGCGACACGTACGTATCAGCGACAATACGTATATGAGCATCGATCAATAGACAAATAAATATACATCAATAGATTCGTTTTGCGAAAATGAATACTTTGCGTTTCGCTTATATTCGAAATGTAATCGCAGGAGACTGCAAAAAAAAAAAAAAAAAAAAGCGTATAAACGATCTTATATAGTACACGGGTCACGATCTTTGAATGCCCGAAAACGTCTTGTAAAACGGTACCTGCGGGTGTGAAGTTAAGTTAGTGTCCACTAAGGAAACTGATTTTTTTTCTATTTTCGCACAGTTCTTATACACGTAAATCGAAGATTCGCTGTTATAGATAATTGGTTCACGTTTCATTTACAAAAACTGTACATAATATGCCGGGAGGTCGGAAATAAAATCAGAAAGTTGTATATTTAATGAGGTGTGAAAAAAAAAACAAACAAACAAAAAATGAAACCAAGAGACTTATGGCAATGTTATTATTCGTACCATTAATTAAACACGCGGTAAGCCAAGCATCCCCGCGGTTAGGTAAGGTTGTTTTGCGAAGGCGTTCGGTGAAAAAAATATCAATAACAAAAGTCAAGTGTCGACATCGTTTGTCGTACAATAAATATCCTTGTGGAATTTGAGGTTAAAAAGAGCAAATGTCTTTTGTTACATTTAATCATTATGATCGTTCGACCGAGAGATTCTACATTCAATATTTATTACACCGTATATATGCGTAGAGGGTACTGTCTACATCTGTATAGAGTTCAGTGGTTTAAATTATTATTGTTCTTTTCTTTTTTTTCTTTTTTGTTCTGGTTTCGACTAACTCATACTAGCCAACAAACTACAAAAACACACACGCGCACGCGTGCGCACACACACACACACACACACACACAACATTGTACGAACGCGACTTGCGACATATCACTAGTCCCGGAGGTATTACCGCCACGACAGTAGGGTATTGTTCGGGAAAATAACCTTTTAAACAACACGGCATATAATGAGCTTATGCGAACAAACATCGGAGTTCATATTATATTTTGTTTTTGTTTTTTAATACGTTTTAGAACCGAATAATTGACTTCTATAGTTTTTTCGAGGTACTTGTTTGGCTTTATTATATAATTATTTTTGTTTGCACAAGTTCACGGTTACGAGCACAATGAAATATATCGCAGGTTTAATTTGTATTTAGTACACTCAAGTCAACTCATAAATCATTATCAAATGCCGAAACGATATTATAACGATACTCCCGAAAATCCTTCGTGAGAGAATTAATATAATTATTTTGTTCAACGCCTATAAGAAAAAAAAAAAAAAATGTAAAAATCTGGTGTTATACTCACAAAGCCCAAATGGAGAGCAGCAATGGCCACACCGATAGAAACGGCTGGTGTGACTACGTTGCTTCGGTTAGCTTCGTCGCATACCGAATGAATGACCAAAACCAAAATAAATGTAATGAACGCTTCGATAATAAATCCCTGGCCAGGGTTAAGCAAAGTGTTAACTTGTGTCCTACCGAAGGTGATTGTCGAATCGGTTGGAGTGATGAACTGTCAAAAACAGAATTCAAAATAACAATTTAGAAATCAAAAAATATGTCGCTATAATACATGGATACACTGATTAAGTGTTACATTCGGCGAGCATAGACTCACATATTGTATGGTTTATCGCAAGTTTTTGTTACTGATTTCCAGTTATTTCAAAGTAATCTCATAATATTTCACTTCCACTAATTCGTAACGAAAATAGAGGTTTTTTTTATTTTAAAGCAATACATTGTTCAAGTAACAACGCATTAGACGTATGTATCAAGTGAAACCACATAACAACTTTTATCTGCAGTCATTAAACATACTCACAGTGTTTTAGTGGTAATTAAATTCAGTTGTTGTGTAATGAGATCAGATGACAATCGAATTAATAACGTGACTTTAACAATATGTAATCTATGTTTATAATTTAAAACCATTAATATTATATTATGCGAACCACGAAAGTTTGTAAAATGCATTATTATGAAAATACTAGTTCCTGCTCTTTTTAAACTGAATAACAATACAATAATTTATAATCAAAACAATTAGACACAAGAAATGTGTTTTTTCAAATTAAAAACTACTAGCCGAGTATATTGTTTATAACTAAAGGTATTGATAATACAGTGTGATCACGATAAGTGGAAACACTTAATAAATTTGTGCAGGCTTCATATATATCAATTCTGCTTTTTTGGCTTATTGATAAACATTATTATACACATTTTCAGATAATTAGACTACTTTTGTCACAAGTAATTTCGCGCATGCGCACAAAAACTTTTTTTTTAAATGACATGACCTATTATTGTCCACAAATTATTTTTTTCCTGTATTTTTTAATGCATTTTAGTGGTCAAATTCCTTTTGTAAGTTAAAAATTGATCGATTTATAGCAACTTGATTTTATGTTATTTGCACGGGTATAACAGATTATAAAATACATAATTAATAATAATAAATACGTAATAATAAAAATAAAAATAATTACCTAATCCAATTTATGAAATACTTGTTTACCTATTTCATTTATCTTTATCAAAATTATCTCAGTAATTGTATTAAAATAATAGTTACTCGGATAACGAAGATAATAAATTTCTTGGGTTCGATGTGTATTCTTTTGACATTCCTAGTATGTGTAAAGCATGTCAAATGTTTCTGAATTATTATCCATAATAACTAATAGATAAGTATTAAATCTGTTTACAAACTACAAAATATTGATTTTTATTTCTTATTAGTTACTGCCAATAGTGAAACTTACTGCAGGATAATATCGACTGTGAAAAATTCATTAATTTAATTTATAACTTGTACCTATGCAAATATGATATTAATTATAATACAATTACTGAGATGATTTTGATAAAGATAAATGAAATAGGTAAACAGGTATGACATAAATTGGATTAGATAGTTATTTTTATTTTTATAATTACGTATTTATTATTATTAATTATTTATTTTATAATCTGTTATACCCGTGCAAATAACATAAAATCAAGTTGCTATAAATCGATCAATTTTTAACTTACAAAAGAAATTCGACCACTAAAATGCATTAAAAAATACAGAAAAAAAATTGTAATTATACCCGTGTAAATAACATAAAATCAAGTTGCTATAAATCGATCAATTTTTAACTTACAAAAGAAATTCAACCACTAAAATTCATGAAAAATACATAAAAAAAATAATTTGAGATCAAAAATAGGTCATGTCATTTAAAAAAAAAAGTTTTTGTGCGCATATGCGAAATTAATTATGACAAAAATAGTCTAATTATCTGAAAATGTGTATAATAATGTTTATTAGTAAGCCAAAAAAGTAGAATTGAAATATATGATGCCTGCACAAAGTTACTGAGTGTTTCCACTTATCGTGATCACACTGTTTAATCAATACCTCGTCATTATAAGGTATTTTTAATGATGTTGTGAGAATACCATAAAAGGAAATTAGACATCACAAATTATGATATTGGGCAATTTTTGGGTTTGAGAATTAGTACGTCATCGGCACTTGGAAATTAATTTTCTTGAAAAACCAAACGTTTATATTAAACGAAAAATATTTAAGAATAGTTTTTGAAGGTCAAAATACAAAAAATTTCAGTAACAATTTTTAATGAAATTTTTATGAAGGTTAATGTTGAAACATCCATGAAAATATGTACTAAATTTGAAGGAAATAGGTAATTATTTCGGGCAAACATTAAAGTGAAGTTTTTAATAATACTTCAAATTTGTTACTGTGTTCGAATAATGTGTCTAAATATCCAACTATGGTACTGATTGAAATCTGATGAAAAACTAAACTTTTAACACACCGTTTTTATTTCAATATAACTGCTCGTAGTATACAATATGGTAATCACTAAAATATTTGTAAATTTGTATGTTTTTGCGCGTATACATTTTATTATCAAAAATATTAATATATACTCACCATCAGTAAATAAATACCAGCTACAGCACCTAAACACTGGGCAATCATGTACAAAACTGATTTCAAAAACGAGCATTGGCCCGTGATCAAAAAGCTCACCGTGACCGCTGGGTTGATGTGGCATCCACTGGTCTGACCAAAAATCTAAAATAGAATTCTCGGTTAAAACAATTTCTCATAAATAAAAAAAAATAATAATAATAAATTAAAAAAAGTTAAAAATGTAATTAGCTGTGTAAACTTCTGATTTGATTACGAAAACGTAGGAAAAAATAAAACTAACGGGTCTGCTGGTTAGACCAGTATTTATTCAAATTAACAACGGTTTACATAATTCTTTTTGTACATTTTAAAACGCTACAAATTTCAGCATTTAGTTTGTTTAACAAATGTTATACGAGTCAGTAAGAAACGTTCGTCGTTGTATCAAAAAAAAAAAAAATAATAATAATAATAATAATAATGTATCTACGCTGTAAAACACATGGCATAATTGAGTGTATGATTTATTAAGAATTGTAAACTATGAAATAACTTTAGATTTACTAAAACACGGATTATTTTCACGTACAATATCGATGCACATACGTTTTATGGACAAATATTGATGAAAACTATAATGCATTTTGATTGCGGAATAACTGACGTTATGTTTTCGTTTGACATTGTAGTTCGGCATGTCCTTGGCGTACTATTATCATGATTTATAAGAAATATATGCCTACATCTAACCGTACGTTCGTTATTGGTTCCCCCGTATCCTTAACAAAACGGTACATTTTATGCAATTCGGAAGGCTGTAATAAAATTGAATTAAAATTAAATTGAATTGATTATTGAACGAACGATTCCACTCAACTTGCAATACCATGTACCATTTAAACGGATATTGTTAGTGCATAGTTTTTTATATTTTATTTTTTTTCCACTTCAATGCTAGTCAGCTCGTGAACAATAATTACTGACCAGAGATTTTATGAATTATTTTGAATATTATACTGCGATGTACTGTAAAATAAAGAGACGAAGATTATCAAAAAAAGTATTGATTTCGAGGTCAAATACAAAAAAAAATTAAAAATATACATCACTAACCGATTCGTTCTAGTATTTATTTTTAAGAACATAATAACTACACTTTATTTTCTTCTACCTACGTTAAAGAATTTGTAATCCACTCGTCAAATGTAAAATCTAAATACCGTCGCAGAAGGATATACAATATCCGAAATTCCGAAGGTACGGGAAAAAACTTATAAATATCGTCCTCGGTGTACAATCCAAACTTTCTTACGTAGTATCGACACAGTGTTCATTTTAAAAGGATCGCAAGTTCCGAGAAACCGACGATGATCGAACGGTTAGGATAACGTTTAGAAAAAATTAGGAAACATCGATCGACTTGACTAAAACGTATAACAACTGTTTCGAGCGTATTGAACAGCTGCCGATCGGTTACACTCCGGTGTGGAATTTCGTTGGTTCGCGTGTTCGGTCCCACAAGTTTGCACTTGTGCAAACGCATCATGTTTGCATTACTAGTTTCGCGAAATGTAGTCACTACGCGACATTGAACCGAAATTGAATCGCAAGCGATCGACGACGGCCGTTAGTGATCGATTTCAATTTTATAATGTTACATTATTTTTAGCGTAGTCAAATCGTGTCGCGTTCCGTTTGAATGATCTTACCTGCACCAGTGTGGCTATTATGAAGCCGAAAGCCAAAGCGATTTTTAAGACGTCTGACGAGTCCAAACCCTTAAACCACATAGTGCTGCCGCAGCCGACGAACAATAGCATGGCCGTGCCCAGAAACTCCGCGGCCAACATTCTCCATATCTTGTTCTTGTCGGATACGTCGTCCATAGCTATCATACCATGTACAACTATAAAAAAAAAAAAAAAAAAAAAATAGATAAAAATAATATAAACATAATATTATTTTACATCATTGGAATAGGGTCCATTTTATTTGTATTGTTCGACGTGTATTACTGCGTTTATATATTTATCAAGTCAAAGAACAGTGTATTGAGTAATTCACAAGAAAAGTGTATCATACATACATACATAAATCGATGGAGTTCAATTGTTCGAAAACGAAATTTAACCAAAAAAATCGTAAAATGCAACAAGTCACCACTTACGGAGGCAAAATCAAATTGAATTGCATTTTAATAGTTAATACTCAAACTACTTAAGCTATATAATGACTAATCAGTGATACCAACACAACGTGTTTTAAGTAGGTAATATACGAATTATTTGATACAGCTATTCGTGTTTGTACATACTTCAAACACCAAATCAATTGGCTCGGTGATACACTGTAAAGTTTATAAAAATATTCTTAGTTCGTCGTCGTTTTTTTTTTTTTTTTGTAGAAAATTTCCTATCAATATTTTGTCGTCGTTGTAATGATAAATATCAAATGTCTATTTACTGTTTATACAACATAATGGGTATGATTAAAAATGAATTTTCCATAATTTGATTTAAACGCAAAAATATAATACACCAAATGTATTACATCAAAGAAGTTATTTATGATAAAAGTAACACATTAATTTTTTAAAAAACTTACGTAACGTGTAAAAAACAATACTAGAACATAACGAGCACACCCGTTTTCATCAGCTTCGTTACCTGTTATTATTACGTAACACAAAATTGAAAATTAAAACTTTTGCGCTTTTTTGTTTTTCAAGTTGAAGGCAATATGGAACTATGTATATAAATTTAATTTATAATTGCTAACTAATATTGACACGGTTGACCAAAAAAATTATATGTTGATCACTACTCCATACTTTGACTTTTTATTAAACGTTAATTTTAATTTTACTTTAAACTCAAACATTATTATTCATACATTATATATTCTGCATGTATGGTTTTGTTTAGAAGAATTAAACGAAAAAAAATCTTTATCAACATTTCAAACATTTAACATTCACAATTGTGAAGGATTTGTAAAATTTACCAATTCGATGACGATAAAAGAGCACTTCGGTAGAAAACATACACTTAATAAGTTCAATGGGTACTCGTATAAGAACATTTGTTTTCGTCAAAACGTGAACATCAAAGAGAGGACGTCATTCTATGAGACTGTGTACAGTGCAAGTACATATAATAGTGATAAAAATTCGATAACGAAGAGAAAAACAATACGAAAAAAAACCCCCAAACCTGAATTGTAAAGAATTGTAAGAAAACTCTAATCTGTATCAATCACGACTCCATTTTAACAATTACCGCTTACTGTGCGTCGGGGTGATGTGTAAGTAAAAATGTAATAACATGCACAAAGAACATGTTCCGAGGAAACTAGAGCAAGTCATCAGCGAACCCGACACACGCTACTTTATTATTATCTTCTGCAAAATGTATAATTAAGTTTGATCAATTAAAAAATATAATGAAAAAACGCACTCCGTGTAACACTTACGGAACTTACATGATTAATGACATACCAGTGATGCACGAAAAGCATTCGATCGTCGAATAAAAAAATGTGTATAAAAAAAAATAAAAAAGCAAGGATTAAAATAAAATTCTCCGAACTAAAACGTGGACATTAAAGCTGCAGTGTATTGTAACTTTTCGGGATCAAAAATGAATATTAATACTGGTCTAAATTTGCATTTTTTTCGCGGCGCCTGTTTACAATACATCGCTGTACAATCTTGATTAATAATGTTTGAAAGATATCCAAGTTAATTAAGAAATACGTAAGAGCTTAAACGCTTTTTTTCACGTAAAAGAACCTACAAGAAAATCGTCAAATTTAAACTGCCTACACTAATTGGACGCTACCCACATCCAGCTGTGGAGCTTAAACATTTCGAACTAAGCGTTCGCCAAAACGCGTTAGAATACCAAATTTTGTGTATGCAATCAAACATTGTTATCATAAAATATTCTTATCGGGGCCGTCGTACTTACAAGTTTGAAGCACGCTGCTAGTAATAAATCAATGACGCAACAAGGATTGAAAAATATTTATAATAATCATAATTGTTTCTATTATTATAGTTATGAAAAAAAGACGAAAAAGTACAACATCCAATTGGTTAAAGTGGAACACAGAAATAATACGTTACAACTGGTAATAATTAGAAATAATAACATTATTACAATATACACTCATATATGGGGTTCGTGAAGATTTCTGTTTTATTTCGTTCGATATCGCGTATTAAACGAAAACAAAAACGGACACGAGAAAAGTTGATTATTACGTTTCACATTATTACTTTTTTTTCCATTCGAACGAATGCATATAGTTATCGTGGTACTACATCGAGCGTTAACAACAACAAAGTGTATCCGCGTACTCGTTTAATGAATGCATACAACGAATTACGGCATCAATATTCAAATATTATAATATTACCGCTATCGGTATGGTCGTAGTCATGAAAATAATGAACCAAAAATGATAAATTTACGTGAATAAATTTCACAGATGATTCGTAATAATACGAAGTTGGCGGCTACGCCATAATAATTCCAGAATTCTTTATTTAATAAAATATTTAAAACCGTTAAGTCTATAATTGCAATACTATTTAGAAGTGCAAAGAAGGTTTGGACTGAATGAAAATATTAAATTATAAGTGGCAGTACCAAAACGTTGAGAACTCGCAACATACATGAATTGAAAAAAGAATAATTTGTACGTCTATCGCGCCTGTTTTCAAAATGTAAATCATATACATAACAAGTATGGAAACCATGCGAAACATTAAACGAAAAAAACAAAATCACTAACAGAATAAATCAAATTTAATGCGGCGCATGACGTACGTATTGAAAAATTATATCAACAAGAATGCTTAAGTAGTCGTGTGAAGAAACGAAACATCATAACATATTAGTAATTCAAGCGTTTTATCACGGGATGTATACACTTGAATTAAAATATATTACGTTTTTATAATTAATGGCAATTCCATCGACGATATTTCATAAACAATACTTTTAAGTTTGAAAACGTATGATGACTGTAATGCTATTTTCGCACATTGAATCATCATAATACGGTAAATTCCAATAATTTTCACTGCCGAGAACACAAATCATATAAACCGTTTATTATTTAGTTGTTAAAATTCGAAATGATAAAAATGTCATCATCCGCTATTGCGGCTATATACGTCCTCAGATATGGACAAAGTATTACAATTTAAATTTGGTTTGTAATACAATAATAATATTATTATCGTTTGATCCAATTATTGTTTTTTGAGAACTAACTTGGAAAACGTGTTTTCTATATCTGAGCAACAACAATATTCGTTTACGAATCTTATACCTATATCATAATCGGTTCGTTTTAGGCCGATTGAACTCGAATGCGTAAAAATGTGCGGTGTCAATCCTCGCGTTTCATGATAAACCGTGCGATTAGTTTCACGTATAATGACCAGACATTTTATGTCGTTGAATTAGGGTTCGACAGTTAATGCATTTCGCATTATTTTTTCGAACTTTTTAGAATATGATATCCTGGCCACAATAGTGTTTCATTTACATTTGAATCCAAATAACTAATTTTTATTTTTCATTTTTTGCATTTTTTGGTGTTTGATACTATTTAAGTCATTTTTTGTAAGTTTTCTTAAATTTATATTGAATATTATAGTAAAATAGAATAAAATATTTAAAAAAATGTATTTTTATTAATTTAAAACAAACAATTGTAATTATTTAGGTCACTTTTTGTAATTTTTATGTCATATTTGCATCTTTTTTTAGATAATTTTTTATTGTTTTTAAGGTTGTCAACTTTCAAGCCCTACGTTGAATATGTCATAGTTTCACAGGAAACAGTACTGCGACTAAGTCTAGTACAACCCGATAGTTACGCTTATTGCTTTATGCTACAACAATATTATAATATCGCACCAGGTACAACTCGTATATTCGGTTGTATGCGAGGAAAACTGGTATACAAAATGATGGGCTACGGGGAGAAATGATAATGGTCAATATTCCCTGTTTCATACTGCAATTTTAAAATTTCACAATTCAAAAGACTAAGAGATAAAAAACAAATAATTTAAAAAAAAAATTACTGTGGTAATACAACTAATTAATATAATTTACTTATTTATTTCAGTAAAATTAATAAAAAAAATCTAATTTATTTTCAAAACACATTACAAGATGATATATGTATCAAATTTTTTTTTTTTTATTGTTTTCGTTTTTTCCCGTAGCCCTTCAAATACAATATGGTAAGTGGTTCCGAAACAATATCCCGAGAAGAAAATTCGAAATACTTCAATACGTTTTAGATTCAACGGTTTCGCAGTCTTCAAACACACAACTATTATTAACGAGCACTTGTTCCGAACATTTGTATCGTTTATGTACACACATGACGTCATGAAAGTATGAAACTGGCGTGATAGGTTTGAAAAAAACAAACGTAAGATAATTGTTCGAAACCCATATAATACTGCACAACACAATAAAAACGCGCACTGTTTATAGGTATATTACACGTATTCAATGGCGTAATTTCAGTTTTTTTTGTAGAGTAAGGCAATCAGCATGCACTTATTAAATTAGGTATTAGGTTTTATTTCAAGTAAAATGTCATTGGTTTTATCGTTCATGAAATTAGACAGACAAAAAAAAAAACAATTGCTTACAAATGAATGAACGAGCATATCAAGTGAACCTAATCGAATAATTATTTTTAAAAAAAATCAAATAAATTTACATAGGTTTTCTTTTGGCATGTTCAACCCTATAATGATTTTACACAAGTTATATTGAATATTTATATTGGTGAACCGTATTAATCGAATAGTTTTAATTATTTATAGTGATTTTCACAAATTCCGAACAGTTGAAACGAATACTTGAATCA